GTCCCCATAAATAAATACCTAAAATAACATAATAATAAAATAGAGAGGAGAGAATCATAGAGTTGGAAGAGACCCCAAGGGGCATCCAGTCCACAAATACGTAACCAAATAACTTAGCAACCTTTTTAGTTAAATATAACCACATAATATATTTTTCATTAGGCCAGTTTTTATATATATATATATATATATATATATATATATATATATGCAGTGTCAATATCGCTAAAAGGTAAAGCTTTGTGTTCATTTACCTTCTAATGTGGACATGCTTCATTATTACCCAGCTTCAACTGTACTGTGCAGTTTCATCTGTAGGGACTACACAAATGTGCTCTTTTCACTGCTGCTGGTTTTTAGTCACTGGTTTTGTCAAATTTTCTGGCTGAGCTGATATAAATCACCTTCCAGAATCTATCTCAAATGGGGAGGAATAATTCCACTCCAGTCACTGCCTGAGCTGATGTCACAGAATGTCCATCACAATTCTAATAGTTGTTATTGTTATTAAATAACAATAGTTTATCAACAGTTGTCATTATTTGCTGTCATGTGAATGCTATATGGAAGACAGCAAAACAGTTCTGCTCAGACCTTGCAAATTAAGCAGCCATGGCTCCTATGACCGAATCCATCCAGTTGCAGTGCAATCTTCTATGAGTTCCATTAAGTACCTTTGTGTCACGATACGTTCAAAGTATAGAGGCCTCAGTTTGGCCATTATTTTAGGTGACACCAAAATAATGGCCTATAAAATGTTGGGGAAGTGTTTCCGCAGAAATGTATTCTTTTAAAATATTTTGTGGTGAAATGCAACCACAAAACTATGTTTCCGTAAGCTCAGCTTCACATATCAACATAGCAGACAGAGTTTTCCTATTCCTTTATCTAATTTGTTGTCAACCCACTCCATTGGGGCTCACACAAATCTACCATTTGTCAAAATATATATGATCCTGTGCAATTCCTTCCAATTTCTGGCCTATATATATATAAACACACACACATATATTCCTACTAGCCGTCCCCTGCCACACATTGCTGTGGCCCGGTCTATGTATATGTGTTTATGTGTGTATATGTGTGTTTACGTATGTATATGTGGTTTTGGCATGCGTTGCAATGTAATTTTTGTTTTTTGGCTTTTTAAGTCCCTTCTGCTGTGTTTGTCAGTGTTTTTATGAGTGATGGTCATTTGTTGGCATGAGAGGTGTCTTGTGTCCAAATTTGGTGTCAATTCATCCAGTGGTTTTTGAATTATGTCAATCCCACAAACTAACATTACATTTTATTTATATAGATACTAGCTCTCCCCTGCCACGCGTTGCTGTGGCCCAGTCTGATGACCTGGAAAATCAAGTAATGAGAAAGTGCTGGTTTCTAATATATGTAATGTCTTTATACTTGTGGGTCAACAGTATTTCTTGCTGTTTCTTTGTCAGTGTTGATGTGGAGATTGTCTGATTTGCCTACTCTGGAACATGCAAGATGGAAATTGTCCTTCTTTAGGGGTCCCTTTCAAATCTATACTATATCTCTGTGTGTGTGAATCATTTCTATCTATCTAATCTATGGCTGGATGGCTCTTTGTCAGGAGGGCTTTGGTTACGTTTTCTTGCCCTGGTGGAGGGAGCTGGACTGGATGGCCTTCAGTATGGGGGTTCTGTGTGGGAAGTTTGCCCCAATTCTGTCGTTGGTGGGGTTCAGAATGATCTTTGATTGTAGGTGAACTATAAATCCCAGTAACTACAACTCCCAAATGGCAATGTCCCCCAAATTCCATCTGTGTCCATATTTGGGCTTATGGAACATTCATGCTAAGTTTGGTCCAGATCCATCATTGTTTGAGTCCACAGTGCTATCTGGATGTAGGTGAACTACAACTCCCAAACTCAAGGTCAATGCCCACCAAATCCTTCTAGTCTTTTCTGTTTGTCATGGGAGTCCTGTGTGCCAAGATTGGTTCAGTTCCATTGTTGGTGCAGTTCAGAATGCTCTTTGATTATAGGTGAACTATAAATCCCAGGAACTACAACTCCCAAATAACAAACTCAATTTTTTGAGTGATGGTCACTCCTTGGGTTAGTAGGTGCTGTGGCCAACCTTCCCTCCCTCTTTCTCTCTCAACTTCCTTCCTTCTCTCCCTCTTTCCTTCCTTCCTTTCCTTCTCTCTTTCCTCCCTCCCTCCCCCCTTTTCTTTTATTTCCCTTCTTTCTATTCTTTCTTCCTTCTTTCCCTTTCCTTCCTTTGCTCTTCGCTTCCATCCCTCCTTCTCTCTTTCCTGCTTTCTTTCTCTCCCTCCCTCTTTCTCTCTCTCCTTTCTTTGCTGCTTCTCTTCCTTCCCTGCTTTACCTCTTGCCTGGGCGCTGGAAGGAAGGATCCTCGGAGCCAGGTGCGGAGCAGGCGAGAGGGAGGCGCTTTTTTTCTGCCATGGCTGTGGGATGCCTCTCGAGCTGGCTGTGCTCGTGCGGCGGGGATGGGGGAGAAGATAATGCGTTTGGATGCATGCGCAGTGTTCTCTTTTAAAATTTAAGGTCTTGCTGTTTTTTGGGAGGATTTTTTTTGAATGCAGGACATAGATTGCTCTGAATGCTGTGTTCTGTCCAAATTTGGTGTCAATTCCCCCAGTGGTTTTTGAGTTCTGTCAATATCACAAACAAACATTACATTTTTATTTATAAAAGTCCAAACTCTTTGCCATGGTTGTGGTGAGGTAAAAGCGAGGCCTTTATCTTGAATACAGTCAACTGTTTTTCGCAGTCTGTGGGCCTCACAAATCCACAAAAGTCAATTTTTTCGATTCCGATTTGTCGTGGATCCACTCAATTGGGCTTCATGCAAATCTACCATTTGTCATAATATATATGATTCTATGCTATTCTTTTCCATTTCTGGCCTATATATATATATATATATATATATATACATATATATATATCCCAAAGGACAGTCCTGACTCTTCGCCATGGCTGTGGTGAGGTAAAAGTGAGGCCTTTATCTTGAATACAGTCAGCTGTTTTTTGCAGTCTGTGGGCTCCACAAATCCTCAAAGGAGTCCATTTTTCCGATTCCGATTTGTGATGGATCCACTCATGCAAATCTACTATTTGTCATAATATATATGATCCTGTGCTATTCTTTTCCATTTCTGGCCTATACAGACATATATTGTTGTTCATTTGTACAGTCGTCTCCAACTCTTCGTGACCTCATGGACCAGCCCACGCCAGAGCTCCCTGTCAGCCGTCACCACCCCCAGCTCCTTCAAGGTCAGTCCAGTCACTTCAAGGATGCCATCCATCCAATTTGCCTTTGGTCGGCCCCTCTTCCTTTTACCTTCCACTTTCCCCAGCATAATTGTCTTCTCCAGGCTTTGCTGTCTCCTCATGATGTGGCCAAAGGACTTCAACTTTGTCTCTAGTATCCTTCCCTCCAATGAGCAGTCGGGCTTTATTTCCTGGAGGATGGATTGGTTGGATCTTCTCGCAGTCCAAGGCACTCTCATACAGACATATCTATATCTATATATATAGAGAAAGAGAGACTCCCAAAGGACAGTCCTGATTCTTCTCCATGGCTGTGGTGATGTAAAAGTGGGGCCTTCATCTTGAATACAGTCAACTATTTTTTTCAGTCTGTGGGCTCCACAAATCCTCAAAGGAGTCCATTTTTCCGATTCCGATTTGTGATGGATCCACTCATGCAAATCTACCATTTGTCATAATATATATGATCCTATGCTATTCTTTTCCATTTCTGGCCTATATAGACATATATAGAGACTCCCAAAGGACAGTCCTGATTCTTCGCCATGGATGTGGGGAGGTAAAACCGAGGTCTTTATCTTGAATACAGTCAACTGTTTTTTTGCAGTCTGTGGGCAAACAATTTTTCCTATTCTGATTTGTCGTTGATCCATTCCATGGGCTTAGAATCATAGAATCAAAGAGTTGGAAGAGAACTCATGGGCCATCCAGTCCAACCCCCTGCCAAGAAGCAGGAATATTGCATTCAAATCACCCCTGACAGATGGCCATCCAGCCTCTGTTTAAAAGCTTCCAAAGGAGCCTCCACCACACTCCGAGGCAGAGAGTTCTACTGCTGAACAGCTCTCATCAGGAAGTTCTTCCTCATGTTCAAATGGAATCTCCTCTCTTGAAGTTTGAAGCCATTGTTCCGCGTCTTAGTCTCCAAGGAAGCAGAAAACAAGCTTGCTCCCTCCTCCCTGTGGCTTCCTCTCACATATTTATACATGGCTATCATATCCCCTCTCAGCCTTCTCTTCTTCAGGCTAAACATGCCCAGCTCCTTAAGCCGCTCCTCATAGGGCTTGTTCTCCAGACCCTTGATCATTTTAGTCGCCCTCCTCTGGACACATTCCAGCTTGTCAATATCTCTCTTGAATTGTGGTGCCCAGAATTGGACACAATATTCCAGGTGTGGTCTAACCAAAGTGGAATAAAGGGGTAGCATTACTTCCCTAGATCTAGACACTATGCTCCTATTCACGCAGGCCAAAATCCCATTGGCTTCATGCAAAACTACCATTTCTCATGACATATATGACCCTGTGCTATTCTTTTCCATTTCTGGCTTATGTAGATATATATAGAGACTCCCAAAGGACAGTCCCGACTCTTCTCCATGGATGTGGTGAGGTAAAAGCGAGGCCTTTATCTAGATCACAGTCAACTTGAGGCTTTTTCCTTCACAAGCCTGGAACCCAGTGGCTAGGCGCGCTTCTTTCTGCGCATGCGCCTTCCCAGAACCAGCCTGAAGTTCTCCTCAACACCCCTTCAAAACGCCATTGACTTTATCCTCACCGTGGTTGTGAGGAAAATGAATGTAATATGTGTACAATATCGAGAAGTCTGGGTTACGGGGCGACGGAGGGGGGTTTGGGACTCCTTTCCCGCCTCGGGGCCCAACCCCGCTTTGAGGCGGGACCCAAACAAAATGGCGGCAGGCGCGGCTGCGCCGATTCAAACGCAGCGCGCGCAGGCGGAGGGGGCGGGGTTCTCGGTGGAGCCCACTGCGCATGCGCCCCGCGATTCAAGATGGCGGACAGTGCGGAACTAAAGGTAAAGGCGCAGTTCGGAAGGGGCCCCCTTTTCCCCCCGCAGCTTCCTTCTCCTCGCCCCCCCTGCTTGATTCCCCCCTTCCCCTTCTTTCTCTCCGGTTCTTTCCCTCAGGCTTCGGGCCTTTCCCTTCCTCTCGACCCTCCGCCGGCCTCCTGGCCTGAGAGGGAGAAGAGGAGAGTTCGGCTGAGGGAGGAAAAGGCGTTCAGGAGGGGCAGCTTCCCTTCTATTCCCTCAGGAGCTTTGTAAATGGGAGGGAGACCCCTAGGAGGCCCCCCCCGGCCCCCCAAAGGAGCTGTTTCCCTCAGGAAGGGTCTTCCCTGCCGCCCTGCGAGGTAGGACACGCATTCTCTATTTCCTGCCGTTTCAGAAACTGGCTTCATAGATCCCTGGCAGGCAATATTGATTTATTTACTTATCTGAGTCGATTTGTACCCCGCTTTTCTCCCTCACCAAGGCGAGACGCAAATGCAATAAGAACAACAACTAATACTCCAGAGCAGGCATGGCAAATTCGGACCTCCAAGTGTTTTGGACTACAACTCCCACAATTCCTAAGTTTTCTCATGCCTGGTCCAGATCTAGCGAAGTCTTGGTTTCTTTGTATTCTGCTTTGGTCAGACCTCACATGGAATTCCGTGTCCAATTTTGTTCACCACAGTTCAAAAGAGATAAAGGTTAAACAGGCGTTCGGTTAAACAGTGCAATGAATACGATGAATATAGGAACGGAATAACGGATGACGAATTGGACTACGATTCTAGTTACGAGACGTTAATGTGTTGTTATTGATGTGTTATTACTTTTATACTATGCTGTTCATGGTTTTTAAACTATATGCTGTTGGACTGACTTTTTGATCTTGTTGTGAACCGCGTTGAGTCGCCTACGGGCTGAGAAACTGCGGTATACAAGCAAAGTAAGTAAGTAAGTAAATAAATAAATAAAGTGCTGGTTTTGACCTATAAAGCTCTATACCAGTGGTTCTCAACCTGGGGTCCCCAGATGTTTTTGGCCTTCAACTCACAGAAATCCTAACCAATGATAAACTGGTTGGGATTTCTGGGAGTTTTATTTATTTATTTATTTACGACATTTATATGCCGCCCTTCTCACCCCGAAGGGGACTCAGAGCGGCTTACAATATATATTTTCATACAATATATTATATTAGCATAGTACAATATCAGTATATATTGCTATATTGCACTATACCATTATATTGTAATATTATTAGTAATATTACATGTAATGTAAATATATAATTATAATTATAATATTGAATTATTATTACTAGTATTATATTGTATTGCATTATAATATTATAAATATTATATGTGTATACAATATACTATATTATATTATTAGTAAAGACAAGATGGAAATGTCTTCTGCTCCCTTCTGTCTTCGCTCTGGCCAGAAGCGAAGTTGTTGGAGTTGTAGGCCAAAAACATCTGGGGACCCCAGGTTGAGAACCACTGCTCTATACGGTTCTGAACCAGCTTACTTATTCGAACGCATCCACCCCTATGTCCCTCCTCGAAACCTAAGATCATTCGGGGAGGCCCCTGCTCTCGCTCCCATCAACAGCACAAATGCGCCTGGCGGGGACGAGAGACAGGACCTTCTCGGCAGTGGCCCCCCGCCTATGGAACACGCTCCCAACTGAGGTAAGATTGGCCACCTCCCTCCTAGCTTTTCGTAAGAAATTAAAGGCATGGTTTTGGGACCAGGCTTTTGGACAATAGATGCAAGCAGCACTTTAAGGGAATGTGACTGGAATGACAATATGGCTGATGAGACTGTTTTACTGTTTTGACAATGGCTTATGTATTGTTATTTATGCTTTTATGTCTAATTGTGGTTTTAATTTTGTAATTTGTTATGTAGTGGCTTTGGAATGGGGCCCATTGTAAGCTGTTCTGAGTCCCCCTTTGGGGGTTGAGAAGGACGGGATAGAAATGTGATAAATAAATAAATAATATTGACTCTAAGCTTGGTCACCCACCAGAGGAGGATGACCAAAATGATCAAATATCTAGTGACCATGAATCCCTATGAGGAGCATATTTTTTTTAAAAATGGGTCTGTTTAGCCTGAAAAAGAGAAGGTTCAGAGGAGACATGAAAGCCATGTATCAATATGTGAAAGGATGTCATAAGGAGGAGGGAGCCGGCATCCTTTCTGCTGCCTCGGAAACTAGGACTCAGTGGAGTAATGAGTTCAAAGGACAGGAAAGGAGATCCCACCTTGACACGAGGAAGAACTTCCTGATTGTAAGAAGGGCTGTTCATCAGTGGAACTCTCTGCCTTGGAGTCTGGTGGAAGCTCCCTCCTTGGAAACGTTTGAATAGATGCTGGGTGGCCATCTGTCAGGGGTACTTTGATTGTGCTTTTCATGCATGGCAGGGGGTTGGACTAGATGGCCTGTGTGAATCTATGATAATTATTATCTTCAAACTTTATTTATATCCCATCCCATCTCCCTCTGGGGACTCAGGGTGGCTTACAACATAGATGGCAACCATTCGATGCCACACAAATACATAACAAAATACAAATACATAATAAATTAAGAATACAAATAATTAAACAATTTATCATAATGAAACATCATAACAAATCAACAAAACATGATTCACGGCAGCAATTAAAAGCAAGATTAAAAGCCAGGTCAATAGATTAAAAACCATATTTTTCATTAAAGCTCTATCTGTAGACCATTAATTGTGTAGAAAGCCAGATATTGAAATGTTTGATTCTCCATAAACCTTGGAGCATAGATAAGTTTTAGTTGTTTTTTGAAAGAGGGGAGCATGGGGGTCATTCTGATCTCCTTTGGGTGAGAGTTTCAGAGGTGGGGGCAACTACAGAGAGGCCCTTTCTCTCATCCCAACCAGCTGGAAGACCAAGAGGAGGGTCGGACTTGATGAATGCCGTGTCTGGACAGGTTCATATGAGGAGAGGCCGGTGGTCAGGTAGTAAACCTTTTTAAAATTTAAAGTAAAATTTAAAACAGATTAAAACCCGATAAACTTCTTATCACAATCTGATTATCTAAAACTGTCAGCGATAAAAACCCTATTTACAAATATACCTATTTAAAATAATTCATTAACCGCATTGGGAGACAAATTTCTGTACTCTTGGATCTAGAGAGATCTGTAGTCCATCTACAATTTTAATTTCCCCCAAAGGCCTGTTCAAACATAAAAGTTTTCACTCCTTTCCTAAATGATAAAAGAGTGGTGGTGGCCCTGATATCTGTAGGGACCCACAAAGCTGGGACCTTCCCAGAAAAGGTCCATTCTCCAATAACTTTAAGCTGTGTTTGGGATGGGTGTAGAGGTGTCTGCAGTCCCTCCCCACTTGATTGAAGTTGTCTTCCAAGTACATAGTAGAAGATAAGTATCCTGGTCCGAGGCTGTAAAGGCCTTTAAAGGTTAAAACCGGCAATTGAAACAAATTTCCAGCCAGTGGACCTGTCTTAGGAGAGGGGTAGTATGTTCCCTTAGCCTTGCTTCAATTAGAATCCTGGCTGCTGTCCTTTGAACAAATTGAATTTTCCAAGCACTCTTCAAAGGCAGACCCATGTAGATCGTGTTGCAGTAGTCCAAACGGGATGTAAACAATGCATGTACAACTGTGGCCAAATCTGACTTTTCCAGGAATGGTTTTAGCTGCTCTTACCAGTTTTAACTGAACATTACCCCCACCACCTGGGCTTTCAGGTTTAGGGCAGAGTCCAGCACTATCCTCAAGCTACGAACCTGGGGAGTGTGACCTCATCCACAGGTGGTATGGTTTATTTTAAGGCTTCTAAGCCACCTGCATTAAGAGGCTTCATTTGTCTTTTCTATTTTATTAACCAATCTTGTCCCACTATGGAGACATCTAGGCCCCATCTTTTATTTATTTATTTATTTATTTATTTATTTATACACCACTTGATCTCCCCCAAAGGGGACTCAAAGTAGCTTAACATAAGAGCATCAGCATAGCCATTTCAAAATAGACAAATATTAAAACAGGATTAAATATAACCAGTGTTTTAAAAATCCCAGTTCCGAGCACTCTTCAGAGGCAGCCCCACATCGAGCGCATTACAGTCATCCAGGGGGGATGTAACTAAGGCATGGAACACTGTGACCAAGCCTGGCTTCTCAGAGAACCAGCGCAGTTGGCACACAAGTTTTAATTGTGCAAAGTGCCTCCTGGCTACCTCTGACATCTGGGCCTGCAGGTTCAGAGCTGAGTCCAGGGAGACCCCCAATATACACTGCTATATGAAATCCAGACTATCTGCTTATAATCTGGCTCAGTGCAGATAATGTGGATTATTATCTGCTTTGCTAATCTAGATGATATGGCAGGCTAGATCCAGCCCAACACTGTAGAGTGAATGGATACAGTTTGACGCTGCTTTTTAACTGCCGGGCCTCAATATGATGGGATCCTGGGATTTGTAGTTTGGCAAGGTCTATCCAGCATTCCTTGCCCAAGAATGTTGCTTGTGCCCTATCAAACTACAGTGCCCCCCCCCCCCCATGATCCCACAGCACTGAAGTAGTGTCAAACTGTAGTAATTCAACAGCGTGAATGATCATCTATGCCTGCCCTGAGTTGGGCATTGATTTCCATATGTGGTAGAAAAAGTTTGCAAGGTGTTTTGTGATCTCTTCCTTTCAAAAATTCCAATTTATTTCCTTCCTCCACTCTGGCTCCACAGGCTGATGAATTGGAATTGAAGTAGTTGTTGTGTGGAAGGGTGTTCTGGAAGCTTATCATGACTTCTCAGAGTGCCACAACTGTGGTCCTTAGTGGTTCAATCTGGGGCTGTTTGCTCCTACATTGTGGAGGTCTAATATATTGTTGTTGTTGTTATTATGTTTATGTTAACCCCGCTTTTCTCTCCCCATGGAGACTCAAAGCAGCTAATATAAGGAGTAAAAGCTTCTCTTTTTTTCCTGTTGCAACCTCATGAACTTTTTGAAAAGGGCCAG